GCATTCGCTCATTGCTTCCAAGAAGCGGTCACTGCATTGTTTCGCGCAACACAGTGACTTATGCCGCAACTGCTCTTCCGAATCCTGTTCTCTATCACCTCCCGCATCCAAATATTCCATCGGCATTTTCATCCTCCCTGTAAACAAATACACAGCGCATTTATGACGCTTACCAAAACCTACTAACCTCTCTCCACTCCGCTTCTCCCAATAAAATTTTTCACCCTTGTATCTCTCGCCATGACAAATTACTAAAAACTAAAATACATTTACATGGCAGGGCATACCGGAAATCCCGGGATTTATCAGTGATACTCTTCGTCAGCGATCTCTCAACTGACCGATTATTCTTGTGGTAACCCCTAGAGTTCCGCAAAGAGAGCACTGCCCTCAGGGCTTTTCCGCGTTTTAAATTACTCAGCCGCATATTCTGTGGGCGCTATACTCCAAACGGACTTTGAGTTGTGTGTCTCCGTTTTGTCGACAGCAGTTCCATTACCGATCCTGTCAATTTAGCCTAAAGACCTACTTTGCCAGCTGCTTCTTGCCCCTTTCTCTCAAACGCAAACACGCCACCCCTGCACCAGACATCACATCTTCGCAACAAGGTAACTATCCTTCTCTTCGCAACTTGCCAAACTCCGTATACGGGGTATTGCTATTCATCAAACCCTTGAGGTTTCTGTCGTGCTGGAGGCGACCGCATACCAATCCATGCCCTGAAACATGGTGGTCAACATGTCGAACTCTTCGCTCTTAATCTTGTTAATCATACAATCAACTCTGGAATCGTACCCTTCTAGTGGGAACAATCTTCTCTCCGTCTTTATTACAAATCAGGATTAAAGCCAACTACTTTCAACTACAGAGGGACCCATCGCAGCCCCGCCACTGCGTCATCCCAGCTGATACGTTCACAATGAATGGGTACCCTGTCACTAATTTTACAGAGATCAGATACTCTTGTGCCTTTAAATTTTCTCAACAAGGCCCGCTCTAGTTCGCACGGGAACGTAGGTTCTGCCTTATAATATTACGTTCCTTCATTTCAGGACACGAAGTTTGCAATTTTTAAGTTTCTAGACCCAGAACTAGCACTTGCAAACGTCCAAAGTTCATCCATCAAAAAGTTATCCCCATGGTCCAACCCTCTCTTACTGCTCCCACTGCACAGTCGTAGGACTTGAGACACCGTGGCTCAGACGGTTAAAGATAAATCTACTTGCTCTTTAGTGTTTGTTGTACCGAAATGCTGTTGCGGCAGAGGCTAGGTCGATCGTGAAGTCAAATAATCGCTATAAATTCCGTTAATCCAGAAAGCCCTCAGTGTGACCTCTAGTGCGTACCTCACACCGGCACTTCTTTTAAGTGTACTACACGAGCATTTTGAACGGCCTCCTCAACCGGCTTCGAAAAGTCACACACCAAAACACGTTTTCGCAGTCTGTAGTTAACTTTCTTGCGTGTGAAGCAGCAGGTGTCCCACTTAATGCCCAACTAGATCTCCTTTGTGAACCTGGTCTAAATCACTGAGTTTCACGAAGGTACATTTAGTAGACAAAAATGAATAAAACAATAATTTAAAAAATAAAACCAAAGCTTACTAACTTGCTGCTACTTTGACTATCTCAAAGCTACGGTTACCGAAATTGCCAGCCTGAACAGTGTGCTCTACTACCGGCCGGCTTCTTCCCGAGGCGACTTATACCAGGTTGATTCCAGCTTGGTCCCTGCCCTGGACTATTCAGTCCGCGCCGTTCAATGAGTGTTGCCTCTTCTTGCCTAGCTCTAACCAACGCAAACCAAAAAATTAGCGTTTCTCTGAGAACGTCTCATACTGCTCACAACCCATTGAGCGCACGTACACAACATTCCGGTGTGACGCTTCTTGGCTTCGTAGTTCATACTACGTCATCGTTTTGTCATGGTTCGCACGCTATGGGCAAGTCCGTTCTGTTCTCATTGGCCCAATGATAGCAGCAGCCTCATTTGTGTCATTTGCGACCTGCCGATTTCAGCGGATGTTGGGCGTTGGCTTGTTCGAAACGATTGAGCTGTCCTGGTGACTTGGCTACCACCGACCAGGTTGAATATCCGGTAGCCTGAGTTCTTTATTAACGCACAAAATGAAATTATAACTGCTTGGTACCCTGCTATCTTGCCGATCTGGTAACGTGCACGAGGAATGAAGACCTCGTATGGTGGTCGGTACGTCCTGCAGGGAAGGTCGATTTGCTGCATTCGTATACCCGCCACTCCTCCATTAGCATGGTGCTTCGCCCATCACCGAAATATCTGAGCATGGCTTTCAATTCAGAAAATCCATAGAAGAGCACTGATTTTTCAGTTTTATTACTTCTGGGCTGGACTCGTCCCGGTTTGTTATTTAACTGGCAGCGCTATGAACCACAGACTGTAAATTAACCGACCTTTCGTCTGTTGAGAAAAAGAAAATCCTCAAAAAATGATTGGATGGATTGGAGAAACTACGGCGCGACGGCTTACATTGACGTTCGAAGCTGTGGCTGCCTTAGTCAAAATTGAGGTTGCACCGCATCAAAGCTCACTTTGTCAACCGAACAAAACGTACGCACCTGCATGATGCCCCCAGAA